GTGGGTTGTCTCTTCATTTCATTGATGATTTCATTTGCTGTGCAAAAAACTTTATAGCTTGATGTAGTCCCAATTTGCTTTTTTCTTTTGTTTCCCTTGCCAAGGAGATGTATCAGAAAAAATACTGCTATGAGAAATGTCTGAGTTTTACAGACTGTGTATTCTTCTAGGATTCTTATGGTTTTGCATCTAACATTTAAGTCTTTATTTAAAATGCATTTTGAGCCCTGGATAATGTGGCTCAGTGGATTGAGTGTCAGTCTGTGAACCAAAGGGTTGCTGGTTCAACTCCCAGTCAGGTTACATGCCTGGGTTGTGGGCCAGGTGTCCAGTAGGGGGCACACGAGAGGCAACCACACATTAATGTTTCTTTCCCTCTCTTTGTCCCTCCCTTGCCCTCTCTTGAAAAATGAATAAGTAAATAAAATATTTTTTAAAAATCCATTTTGAGTTTATTCTTGTGTATGATGTAAGAAGGTGATATAGTTTTATTCTTTTGCACACATTTGTCCAAATTTCCCAACACCTTTTATTGAATAGACTATCTTTACCCAATTGTGTTTTTGCCTCCATGTCAAATATTATTTTTTGTATATTTTATTGATTGTGTTATTACAGTTGTCCCAATTTTCCCTCTTTGCCCACCCCCCCACCTGGTACCCCTCTTCCCTCCAGCAAGTCTCCCTCTTTAGTTCATATCCATGGACTTTAGTTCATGTGCATTTAAGTTCTTTCGCTTCTCCATTTCCTATACTCTTCTTAGCACCCGCCTGTCTATTTTGTACCTATAAATTATGCTTTTAATCCCTGCAGCTTTCCCCCCATTCTTCTCTACCCTCTCCCAACTGAAGGCTCTCCAAATGATCTCCATAACTAAGATTCTGTTCCTCTTCTGGTTGTTAGCTTCATTTGTTTTTGTTTTTAGATTCAGTTGTTGATAGTTGTGAATTTGTTACCTTTTTAATGTTCATAGTTTTGATCTTCTTTATCTTAAGTCCCTTTACATTTTATGTAATAATGTCTTGGTGATGATGAACTCCTTTAGCTTTACCTTGTCTGGGAAGCACTTTATCAGCCTTCAATTCTAAATGATAGCTTTGATGGATAGAGCAATCTAGTTTGTGTGTCCTCGCTCTTCATCACTTTGAATACTTCTTGCCAGTCCCTTCTTGTCTTCAAAGTTTCTTTTGAGAAATCAGCTGGTAGTCTTATGGGTACTCTTTTGTAGGGAATTCTGCTTTTCTCTTGCTGTGCTTAAGATTCTCTCTTTATCTTTAAACTTTGGCATTTTAATTATGATGTGTCTTCGTGTGGTCCTCTTTGGATCCAACTTGTTTGGGACTCTCAGTGCTTCCTGGACATGTGTGTCTATTTCCTTCACCAAATTAGGGACATTTTCTTTCATTATTTTTTCAAATAACTTTTCAATTTCTTGCTCTTCCTCTTCTTCTGTCATCCCTGATTCAGATGTTGGTGCATTTGGAGATGTCCCAGAATCTTCTTATACTATACTTGTTTGTTTTTTTTTTTTTTGAATTCTTGTTTCTTCTCTCTGTTCTGGTTGAATATTTATTTCTTCCTTATGTTCCAAATCACTGATTTGAATCCCAGCTTTATTCCCTTCACTTTTGGTTCTCTATAGATTTTTCTTTATTTTACTTAGTGTAACCTTCATTTCTTCCTTTATGTTGTCGCCATACTCAGTGAGATCTTTGAGCATCTTGATCATCAGTGTTTTGAACTCTGCATCTGATAGGTTGGCTATCTCCATTTCATTTAGTTCTTTTTCTGGGGTTTTGTTTTGTTCTTTCATCTGGGCCATATTTCCTTGTCTCCTCAATTTGGCAGTCTCCCTGTGTTTGTTCCTCTGTATTAGGTAGAGTTGCTCTGACTCCCTATAAAAGGCACCTGAGAATTGTGTGGGGTGGAGCCTTAGGTAATTGCCAGGGTGGGGCAACCGGCTTCACTACTTTGTGGCTCTATGTTGGTGGAGAGCTCAGAGAGGAGACTGCGCTGCTGCCTGGCTTCTGGGGGTTTGCCTGGCACTTGACCTGTTTCCAGTCACTTCCCCCACTCCCTGTATGTGACTGACACCCTTCCAGCAGTTGCCCTGGTGTTGAATCTCAGAGTATGTGGCTTTGCATAAGTTTTAAGAGCATGAGGGCCCTTTAAGCAAAGTTTCCTGAAAATCTGGCAGTTTCTTGTGTGGCCCCAACTCCACTGACTTTTACAGCCAGAAGTTTTGGGGATTTATCTTCCTGGTGTTGGAACCTTGGGCTATGCAGTCTGGTCTGGGGCTGAGATCACTTCCTCCCAAGGTATCCCTGCCAATTTATATCCACCACATGTGAATGTGGGATTGCCCATGCTTATTCCACCACTACCTTATTTTTAAAAATTAAAAAAAAATGTTTATTGATTTCAGAGAAAGAAGAAGGGAGGGATAGAGATGAGAGGGGGAGAGAGAGAGAGAGAGAGAGAGAGAGAGAGAGAGAGAGAGAGACAATGATGTGAGAAAGAAACATCAATCAGTTGCTTCCCATATGTGTCCCAACCAGAGATTAAACCCACAACCCTGGATATGTACCCTGACCAAGATTCAAACCCCCAACCTACTGGTATACAGGATGATGCTCCAACCATCTGAGGCATACCAGAAAGGACTTGTGAAATATTAATTGACCATAAAGGCACGGGCTATTTCTGGGGTCTCTGTTCCGTTACATTGATCTATGTCTGTTTTTATGCCACTACCATGCTGTTTTTATTACTATGGTATGTAGTATAGTTCGATATCAGGTAGCATGATTCCTCCAACTTTTTTCTTCTTTCTCAAGATTGGGGTGGCTATTTGGGGTCTTTTGTGGTTCCATATACATTTTTGTAATATTTTTCCTGATTCTATGATATACACCATTGGTATCTTGATAGGAATTGTATTGAATTTATAGATTGCTTTGGGTAGTACAGACATTTCAATGATGTTAATTCTTCCTATCCATGAATATGGTATGTACTCCCACTTATATGTATCTTCTTCACTTTCTTTCTTTGGTGTCTTGTAATTTTTCCAGGACATGTCTTTTACATCCTTGGTTAGATTTATTCCTAAGTATTTTAATTTATGATGTAATTATAAGTGGAATTGTTTTCTTAGTTTCCTTTTGTGATAGTTCATTATTGGTGCATAAAAATGTGACAGATTTCTGCATAGTTGTTTTGTATCCTGCTACTTGACTGAATTCATGTATCAGTTTTAGTAGGTTTTTGGTGGAATCTATAAGGTTCTCTATATACAGTGTCATGTCATCTGCAAATAATGACAGTTTTACTTCTTCCTTTCCAATTTTATGCCTTTTATTCCTTCTTCATGTCTGATTGCTGTGGCTAGGACTTCCAATACTATGTTGGATAAGTGTGGTGAAAGCAGACATCCTTGTCTTGTTCTGGATCTTAAGGAAAATGCTCTTAGTTTTTGCCTGCTGAATATGATGGCTGTGAGTTTGTCATATATGATCTTTATTACATAGAGGTGTGTTCCCTCTATTCTTACTTTGCTGTGAGTTTTTATCAAAAATGGGTGCTGAATTTTAGTAAATCCTTCTTCTGCATCTATTAATGTGATTGTGTGGTTTTTATTCTTTTTGTTTACATGGTATATTGCATTTATTGATTTGTGGATATTGTATCAATTTTGCATCCCTGGAATAAATCCCAATTAACCATGGTATATGATCTTTTAAATGTATTGCTGGATCCTGTTTGCTAATATTTTATTGAGGATTTTAGCATCTATGTTCATCAAGGGTATTGGTTTATAAATTTTCTTTCTTCGTAGTATCTTTATCTGGTTTTGGAATTAGGATAATACTGGCATCATAAAATGAACTTGGGAGTCTTTCCCCCATCTTGATTTTTTTTTGAATAGTTTGAAAAGGATAAGTGTTAGTTCTTCTTTAAATAATTTTTGGTAAATTTTTCCTATGAAGCTATCCAGTCCACAGCTTTTGTTTGTTAGGAATTTTTTTAAAGTACTGTTTCAACTCCATTAGCTGTAATCTGTCTGCTTAGATTTTCTGACTCTTTCTGATTCAGTTTTGAAAGATTATATGTTTCTAGGAATTTATCCATTTCATCCAGATTGTCCAATTTTTGGCATATAGTTGTAGTATTTTCTTATGATTCTTTGTATTTCTTTGGTGTCAGTTGTTATTTCTCCTCTTTCATTTCTGATTTTATTTATTTGGGTCTTTTCTCTTTTCTTCTTCATGAATCTGGTTAATGGTTTTTCAATTTTTTTAAATCCTTGCCCAAGAATATGATTTTATTTTATTTTATTTTATTTATTATTTATTTATCTTTAGAGAGAGGGGAAGGCAGGGAGAGAGAAAGGAAGAAAAACAGCAATGTGTGGTTGCCTCTTGCACACCCACTACTGGGGATGTGGCCCACAACTGAGGCATGTGTTCTGCCTGGGAATCGAACCAGTGACCTTTTGGTTCGCAGGATGGTACTCAATCCACTGAGCTAGCCAGGGCTGTTTTTTCAATTTTTTTAATAAAAATTTTATTTTTATTTTTAAATGCTTTTATTGATTATGCTCTTACAGTTGTCCCCCATTTCCCCCCTTTTGTTCCCCCTCACAGCCTCGCCTTCCCACAGTCAGTCCCTGCACCATTGTTTATGTCAATGGGTGATGCATATATGTTCTTTGTCTAATCCCTTCACTTTCTTTTAACCAGTCCCAAACTTGGCCCTCCCCTCTTACAGCTTCCAGTCTGTTCCTTGTTTCTGTGACTCTGATTCTATTTTACTTGTTAGTTTATTTTGTTCCCTAATTCTAGTTGTTAGTGAGATCATATGGTATTTGTCTATCATTGCCTGGCTTATTTCGCTTAGCATAATAGACTCCAGATCCATCCATGCTGCTGCAAAAGATAAGAATTCCTTCTTTTTTATTGCTGCATAGTACTCCATTGTGTAAATGTACCACAGCTTTTAAAAATATAGAATGCTTCAGGAATTTGCATGTTGTCCTTGTGCTGGGGCCAGGCTAATCTTATCTGTATCATTTTAATTTTAGTATATGTACAGCTGAAGTGAGCACTCAAGGATATGTTTTCATTGATTTTAGAGGGAGAAGAAAGGTGGTGGGGGGAAGAGGGAGGGAAAGAGAGAAACATCAGTATGAGAGAGAAGCATCAATTGGTTGCCTTCTCTATTTGCCCTGACTGGGGTTTGAATCCATAACCCAGGCATGTGCCCTGGCCTGGGATCAAACCTGTAGCCCCTTGGTGTATGGGATGACACTTCAACCAACCTTGCCACCTAGCCAGGGCTGTCAATTTTGGTTATGTTTTCAAAGAACCAGCTCTTGGTTTCATTGATCTATTGCATTATTTTTTAAGACTGTATTTTGTTTGTTTCTGCCCTGATTTTTATTATTTCATTTCTTCTCCTCAATTTGAGCTTTGTTTGTTGTTGTTTTTTCTATTTCCTTTAAGTGTAAATTTAGATTGTGTACTTGAGGCTTTTCTTGTATTTTTTTTTTGAGGTAGATCTGTAATGCTATGAATTTCCCTCTTAGGACTGCTTTCACTTTGCCCATATATTTTTGGTCATTGTATTTCCATTTTCCTTTGTTTCAAAGTATCTTTTGATTTCTTCCTTGATCTCATTGTTAATCAATTCATCATTTAGAAACATGTTATTTAGCTTCCATGTCTTTTTGTTTTTTTCATTTTTGTTCTTGTGATTGATTTCTAGTTTTATACCATTATGGTCAGGGAAGATACTTGATGTAATTTCAGTCTTCTTAGATTTATTGAGACTTGCTTTGTGTCCTAACATGTGGTCTACCCTAGAAAATGTGACATGCATACTTGAAAAGAATGTGTACTCTGATGCTCTGAATATCTATTAAATCCACCTGATCTAGTGTGTCATTTAAGACCACCAGTTCCTTGCTGATTTTCTACTTGTCTGGAAGATCTATCCATTGATGTCAATGGGGTGTTAAAATCCTTACTATGGCTGAATTACTGTTGATCTCTCACTTTATTTTTTAAGTATATTTTATTGATTATGCTACTACAGTTGTCCCATTTTCCCCTCTTCTTTATTCCCCTTTGCCCTGCACCCCCTTCCCACCAGCATTCCCCACCCGCCTTAGTTCATGTCCATGGGTCATACATTAGGTTCTTTGGCTTCTCCATTTCCTATGCTATTCTTATCCTCCCTCTGGCTATTTTCTACCTACCATTTATGCTTCTTATTCCCTGTACTTCCCCCCAATTCTCCCCCTCCACCTCCCTACTGATAACCTTCCATTTCTGTCATTTTGTTCCTGTTCTAGTTGTTTGCTTAGTTTGTTTTTGTTTTAGGTTCAGTTGTTGATAGTTGTGAGTTTGTTATCATTTTACTGTTCATATTTTTTATCATCTTTTTTTTCTTAGATAAATCCCTTCAACATTTCATATAATAAAGGGTTGGTGATGATGAACTCCTTTAACTTGACCTTATCTGGGAAGTACTTTATCTGCCCTTCCATTCTAAATGATAGCCTCACTGGATAGAGTAATCTTGGATGTAGTTCCTTGACTTTCATGACTAGGAATACTTCTTTCCAGCCCCTTCTTGCCTGCAAGATTTCTTTTGAGAAGTCAGCTGACAGTCTTATGGGCATTAAGACTTTTGTCTTGCTGCTTTTAAGATTCCTTATCTTTAATCTTGGGTAATGTAATTATGATGTGCCTTGGTGTGTGTTTCCTTGACTCCAACTTCTTTGGGACTCTCTGACCTTCCTGGATTTCCTGGAAGTCTATTTCCTTTGCCAGATTGAGGAAGTTCCCTTCATTATTTTTTCAAATAAATGTTCCATATCTTGCTGTTCCTCTTCTCCTTCTGGCACATTTATGATTTGGATGTTGGAACATTTAAAGTTGTCTCAGAGGTTCCTAAGCCTCTCCTCATTTTTTTGAATTCTTTTTTCTTGACTCTGTCTGGTGGAATGATTATTTCTTCCTTCTGCTCCAAATCATTGATTTGAGTCCCAATTTCCTTCCCTTCACTTTGCATAGCCTTCCCTTCTTTCTCTATTTTGCAACCATGCTCAACCATTTCTGTGAGCATCCTGACGGCCAGTGTTTTGAACTCTGCATCTGATAGGTTGGCAATCTCCTCATCACTTACTTCTATTTTTGGAGTTTTAATCTGTTCTTTCATTTAGGCCATATTTCTTTGTTTCAGCCGCCTGTTATATTGTTAGGGACAGAGCCTTAGGTATTGGCCAAGACAAGGCAAACCGCTTTGCTAGGTTGTAGCACTGTCTGTGGGGGAGGGGTCCAAGATGGAATGATGCTGCTTTCTCTGCTCTCAAACAGTTTACAGTCACTTCTCCCTCAACTCACAAGCAAATCGGGCCCTTCTGGTGCTGATTCTTGTGGGGGGGGGGGTGGATTGTGTACATTCTAGGACCCTGTGGGTCTCTCCAACAAACTCTCCTGTGAGGCTGGGAGTTTCTCCCACCACTGCACCCTCACAGGTTCTTACAGCCAGGGGTTTTGAGGCTTTGTTTCCCCACACTGGAAGCCTGGGTCTGTCTTGCTCCCCAGGTGTTCCTTCTGGGAGGAACAACTGGGAAAATGTGGGACTACCCAGTCCTCCAGCCACTGCTTTGCTGTGTGTCCTCTCTGCCCCGGGGGCCATCTCTGCCCCTCCTACCAGTCTGGATCTGTTTCTTCTTTAACTTCTTGGTTGTTGGACTTCCATACAGTTTGATTTCCTGGCAGTTTTGGTTATTTTTCATTTTTAAATTTGTTGTTGTCCTTTTGGTTGCACAAGGAAGCAAAGCATATCTATCTACACCTCACTCTTGGCCGGAAGTCTGATCTCTCACTTTATATCTATCCAGATTTGCTTTACATATTTAGGTGCTTTTATGTTGGGTGCATAAATGTTTACAAGGGTTATATCCTCTTGTTGGATTGCTCCCTTTATCATTATGTGGTGTCCTTCTTTGTCTCTTACTATGGCCTTTGTTTTAAAACATATTTTGTCAGATATAAGTATTGCTACCCCAGCTTTTTTTTCCTCATTTCCATTTGCAGGAAATATCTTTTTTTCAAGCCTTAACTTTTAGTCTCTGTGTAACTTTCATTCTGAGAGTATTATGCTAGATGAAATAAGCCAGTCAGAGAAAGACAAATACCATATGATTTCACTTATATGTGGAATCTAATGAACAAAATAAACTAACAGACAAATTAGAAATAGAAATAGACTCATTGATACATAGAACAGACTGATAGCTGTCAGGAGGAAGGGAGATGGGGGGCTGGGTGGAAAAGGTGATGGGATTAAGCAAAGGAAAAAAAAGCCTCACAGTATGGTAATTACCTGGGGGGGAATTGTGGGGTACGGGGAGGTAGAGGAGAGTAAAGGGTAATAAATGGTGATGGAAGGAGACTTGACTTTGGATGGCAAACATACAATACAATATAGGTGATATACTATAGAACTGTACTCCTGAAATCTATATAATTTTATTAACCAATGTCACCTGAATACATTGAGTAAAAATTAAAACACAAATCAGACTGTGATAGCACTGTGAATAAAAACAAAGCAGGACTGGAGGGAGAGGGTACAGGCTGACACCACTCAAGTCAGATTTTTTCAAACAGCCTCTGCCTCTTTGCAAACCCAGACCCACCCTCTGTGAGTGTGTGGAAGTGGGCTAATTTAGGCATTTTGTCCTTGAGTTGTCGTTTTCTGGGGTTTTGGCACTTACCCAGGAGAGACCAATGTAGTTACTATTCCTCTGGCAGGCAAGGACAATACACACACTCATCAACAGGGCTGCCTTACTATAGCATTATTTCAACTCCACCAGTTGGGTACTCTGTTGGGCTTTCTGAACATGGGGAGCAGCCTGAAACACATCTCTAAACTCCTGAGAAGACCTTGAAATTCCTATAGCTGCCTGTGTCTCTCTAGAGGTGGGAGCAGAGCATTATGGGCCATGTTGCGGAAGCTGTGTCTGGGTGTGCCTGTGCACCCAGAACCTCACCCTTGCTTTGATTAGCTCAGAAGACAGGAGTCATCTTTGCATCCAACCTGGCCCTCATTTCTTATCCTGTGCAACCTACCACCAAGTCCTGTCAATTTCTTTCTTACATTTGTCTCCAACCCATCTACTGGTCTCCGTTGCCCAAGTCCCTCCTGTAGTGCACTCTACCACCATCTCTCCCCTGAACCTCTGCCATTGCCTCCTATCCGGACTTCAGAGTCCTTTCTAGTTCTCTGACACTGCAGCCAAAGTGATCTCTACAAAATGTGAAGCAGATTCTGTCAAACTTTTCAATGTTTCCTTATTGTTTTTAGTCTAAAACTGCCCAGTCCTTCATAGGGACCCCAGCCTGCCTCCCCATGTTTGTCTCATGCCTCTCTTCTCTCTCTTTGCCCTAGCATATCTTTCTACATCACAAATGCTCCATGAACTACAGCCACGAGGCCTTTGCACAAGCCATTTCTTCTACCCGGAGCAGTGTCTTTCCACTCTTCCTTCACTTGGTTAACCCCTGCCTGTCCTTCGGAATTCAGGTCAGATATTTTCTTAGGGAAGTCATAGAAACTCTTTCCTGAAGTTCTTCTCCTTCATAGCATATTCCCCAGCTTTTGTGATAATGTCCATCACACCCTAGTAGGTAGTTTGTTTCACAAATGCAGGACTGTATTTGTATTTGCTCTCAATTGTAGAGGGTGACCACCTGTCCTGGTTTGCTAAAAACTGAGGGATTTCTCAGGAAACAGGACTTGCAGAGCTAAAAGTAGGAAAATCATCCTATTACTGTATCACCAGCTCAATATACATTTGTTGAATGAATAGCCATTCATAATCACTAATTGGGCCATCAGCCCAACCACCTAACTGAATCTCAATGTTTCTTTTCAGCATAGTAGTTCCCAGTTCAAGGAGAAAAGGGTAGTATAACTATGTTCACCTCTCCCTGGCTTGACAGGTGGTTTCAGGCAGACATAGGTGCTTTCATGACTCCTATGAGGGGCATAAACCAGACCAAAAAGAACTGTGCAGGGGTCATGA